ACCTCTGCCTCCCAGGTTCAAGCGATTCTCCTGCCTCAGCTTCCCGAGTAGCTGGGACTACAGGCGTGCACCACCATGCCCAGTTAATTTTTGTATTTTTAGTAGAGACCGGGTTTCACCATGTTGGCCAGGATTGTCTCGATGTCTTGACCTCGTGATCTGCCCGCCTTGGCCTCCCAAAGTGCTGGGATTACAGGTGTGAGCCACCGCACCCAGCCTATTGTTTTTTATCTTCTATGTACATAGAAACAGTTGAAGTTTTATAAATGAAGGACAAACAGGAGTATGATTTAGCTTGATGTCATGTTCTTTCATGTTTCTTTGTTAAAAACATTCCCCTTTCTTCTAGAAAGTTTGGGGCATGATTCTCCCCCATCTTCCTTAATGATATGCTCATGCAATATCTTTTCATAGAGGCTAAAGAAATCCAGCTGAAAAAATAGTCTAAAATCAGACAGAAAAAGGGTAGGTTTCCCTCTGAGTACTTAGAATGTATGGTCCATAATCAAGTGCATACTGCCTGGTCCTTAGTTAAAATCTCAAGTTAGTCAAATCTCCTCAGTTGATTGTAGTTTTTTGGGAGTGTGACTGTGTCTCATGTCTTTTACCATACAGACATAAAAAGTACCAAGCAGGCAGCTGGACACACAGCAGGTGTGCAGATGATTATGGCAAAGTAGAGATGAAGGCTGGATTTCACTCAGGCAATGTATTTTTCTTGTCTTTTCTCTTTTCTTTTTTTTTTTTTTCTCTTTTTTCTTTCTCTCAGACAGAGTCTCACTCTGCTGCCTAGGCTGGAGTGCAGTGGTGCAATCTCGGTTCACTGCAACCTCTGCTTCCTGGGCTCAAGCAATTCTCCAGCCTCAGCCTCCTGAGTAGTTGGGACTACAGGTGCGCGCCATCATGCTCGGCTAATTTTTGTACTAATATTTTTTGTAGAGATGGAGTTTCACCATGCTGCCCATGCTGGTCTCGAACTCCTGAGCTCAAAGCAATCCACCCACCTCGGCCTCCCAAAGTGTTGGGATTACAGGCGTAAGCCACCATGTCTAGCTTGTTTTTTTTCTTTCTTTTTGTAAAAATCTCATACGCACTTGTGGTAATCATCAGACAAAGGAAAAAATCAGAGTGGTGTTTTTATTAGAGAAAAACGAATATTATGGCACATCCTTACAAGTAAATGCTATACTGAACTGTAAAAATAAGTAAATAGATGTATATAACTAATGTGGAAAAATGTATATGATTTATGAAGTGAAAAAAGAAAGTCGCAGCGCATTACATACTACATATAATTCCATATTTTTAAAAATTAAATTAATCTGAGAAAAGTGACACCATTTGTCACGTCTAGCTATATTCATCTGTAGGATCCCAGCAGCTGGCATATAGCCAGGGTTCAGTAAATGTGTGTGAGATGACTACGGCAATACCAAGGACTCAGACTAGCACTCAAAATACTCCCAACATAGTGTGAATTCTGACCTTTTTCTGTTACTTAAAAATAAGCAGGATTTTCCTATTGGTGGGCAAGAAGGAAGGGTGAGAGCTCTTTACAATTAGCCCAAGTTAAAAGAGTATTAGACTGAAGGTCACTGGTTCAAGCCCAGATTTGAGTGATACTTTCCTTTTTGCTCTCTCTCTCTCTCTCTCTCTCTCACACACACACACACACACACACACATACACACACATCTATGTATCTATTAATCAATATTTTCCTAATTTCTTGGCTGGGTGCAGTGGCTCATGCCTGTAATCCCAACACTTTGGGAGGCCAAAGCAGGCAGATCGCCTGAGGTCAGGAGTTCAAGATCAGCCTGGCCAACATAGTGAAACCCTGTCTCTACTAAAAATACCAAAAAAAGACTGGGAGTGGTGGCACATGCCTGTAATCACAGCACTTTAGGAGGCTCAGGAGTTCGAGACCAGCCTGGCCAACATGGCAAAACTCCACCTCTACTAAAACTACAAAAATTAGCTGGGTGTGGTGGTGGGCGCCTGTAATCCCAGCTACTTGAGAGGCTGAGGCAGGAGAATCGCTTGAACCTGGGAGGCAGAGGTTACAATGAGCCGAGATCACACCACTGCACTCCAGCCTGAGCAACAAGGGCAAAACTCCATCTCAAAAAAGAAAAATACAAAAGAAAAATTAGCCTGGCTTGGTGGTACACACCTGTACTCCCAGCTACTCTTGTGAGGCTGAGGCAGTAGAAATGCTTGAACTTGGGAGGCAGAGGCTACAGTGAGCCGAGATCGTGTCACTGCACTCCAGCCTGGGCAACAAAACAAGACTCTGTCTCAAAAAAAAAAAATTTTTTTTTCTTGACTTTTTATTTTGAAAATTTTAAACCCAGAGAAGTTGCAAGGCTAATACAATAAACAACTGTACATTTTTCACCTAAATTCACCAATGGTCAACTTTTTGATGCATTTGTTTTACCTCCCCCTTCTGTGTACATTTGTATGCGTGGTATGTGTGGACAGCATTTTTGCCAAACCATCTAAGAGTAAGTTACATAAATTATGATACTGCAACCCTAAAACTTCAGTATGTATCTCCTAAGAACATTTGCCTATTTTTATGTATGTCTTACTTTGAAACAGTTTAAGACACAAAAAAAATCGCAAAAATAGTACAGAAAGTTCCCATGTGCCATTTACCCAGCTCCCCCCTCCATGATAACATCTTATATAACTATAGTGCATTATCAAAACCAGGAAAATGACATTGATACAACATCTTAATTCAGCTACAGACCTTATTTGGATTTCATTAGGTTTCTCTCTTCCCTCTCCCACCCTCTGAATTTTTATCATGTGTATAGATTTGAGTAGCAGAAATGTTCCATTACCACAAAAATTCCCTCCTGTTAGCCCCTTTACAGTCACATCCTCCCACAAACCTACAACCTTAACTGCTGTCAATCATTGATCTTTTCCCCATCACTATAATTTCTTCACTTCAAGAATGTTTTATAAATGGAATCACGTAATATGTAACATTTTGAGGTTAGCTTTTACTCACCAAAATGCCCTTATAATTCACCCAAGTTGTTTCATGTGTCAATAGTTCATTCTTTCTAATGGTGAACAGTATTCCATTGTATGAATGTATCTTGGTTTGTTTAACCACTCACCTGGTGAAAGACATTTGGGTTGTCTCCTATTTTAGTACATCATATAGAAAGCTGCTATGACCATTTGTATACTCATTTTTGTGTGAACATAGGTTTTCCTTTTTCTAGGCTAAATACTCAGGACTGAAATTGCTGAGTCACATGGTAAATATATATTAATTTATTTAAATTAATTCTTTAATTTATTTATTTTGGAGGCAGAGTCTCCGTCTGCTGCCCAGGCTCGAGTGCAGTGGTGCAATCCCAGCTCACTGCAACCTCTGCCTCCTGGGTTCATGTGATTCTCCCACCTCAGCCTCCCAAGTAGCTGGGATTACAGGTGCACACCACCACGATCGGCTAAATTTTTGTATTTTTAGGAGAGATGGAGTCTCACCATGTCGCCCAGGCTGCACTTGAACTCCTGAGCTCAGGTAATCTGCCCACCTTGGCCTCCAAAAGTGCTAAGATTACAGTAATGGCTTGAGACACTGTACCCGGCCAAATGTATATTAACTTTATAAGAAACTACTAAAGTGTTTTTCCAGAGTATGTGTACCATTTTACATCCCCACCAACTTTTCTGGAAGGAATAAATTAGAGATCCAGCTGTTCTGCATCCTTGTAAGCACTTAGTATTGTCAGTATTTTGTGTTTAAGCCACTCTAGTAGGTATGTAGTGTCACATAATTGTGCTTTGAATTTCATTTCTGTGATAGGTATGTTGAACATATTTTGTTTTTTTTTTTTTTTTTTTTTGAGACGGAGTCTCACTCTGTCACCCACGCTGGAGTGCAATGGCACGATCTCGGCTCACTGCAAGCTCTGCCTCCCGGATTCATGCCATTCTCCTGCCTCAGCCTCCTGAGTAGCTGGGATTACAGCTGCGTGCCACCACGCCTGGCAAATTTTTGTATTTCTAGTACAGACGGGGTTTCACCATGTTGGCCAGGATGGTCTCAATTTGTTGACCTCGTGATCCGCCCGCCTCGGCCTCCCAAAGTGCTGGGATTACAGGCATGAGCCACCATGCCCAGCCTGTTGAACATATTTTCATGTGCTTATTTGCCATTTGTATATTCCCTTTGGTAAAATGCCTATTCAAGTCATTTGCCCATTTTCTAATTGGAATGTTCATTTCCTTTCTGTTATGTTTAGAAAGTTCTTTACAAATTCTGGATACATATTCTGGATATATTTGCTGTAATTTGTAAATATTTTGGCTTCTCTTTTCACCTTCTTCTTTTTTTTTTTTTTTTTTTTTTTGAGA